TTAGAGCCACATAATGACGACTCCTTCAATAGAATCTTAGTCACAAGGTTAGAGCCACATAATGACAACTCCTTCAATAGAATCTTAGTCACAAGGTTAGAGCCACATAATGACAACTCCTTCAATAGAATCTTAGTCACTAGGTTAAAGCCACATAATGACAACTCCTTCAATAGAATCTTAGTCACAATATTAACTTGACACAGAATAATAAAAAACTTTTGCTAAATCTATCTTTCGAGGATGGAGACTCTCGATTTTGGACCACCTTTGCTAAACTATTCTTATATTCTACGATCTGATTTCATTTGAATGAACAATCCAAAAAATGCCACAAGTGTAATTTCTTTACTGGAGTATATACATAAATAAAGTAATGATTATGTAACAGAAGCTATGGATAATTTTCAAGATGTAATCACCAATATATAAGTGGATGGAGCTTCTAAGTCATCAATCGTTTAAAGGGGTGCTTTGATTGGCTAAGAACATCTGAGGTACCTTTTCAAACACAATTGTGCAATACTTAGTCTTTGTTGAATTTCATTGATATTGCGATAATTATATCACTTTTAGAGTCAAATCATTTAAGGATAGGGAAAGTCTGTTTATTTTTATGCATAACCAAAATTCATGATTTTATCTCCTGTACATGGATAAAAACAAACATACTATCCCCTAATTTTAAGTAATTGTCATATTACAAAAAGATACAAAGTATTTACTGGAAGAAAAATAATAAAATATCAATGACAATGGTGAAGGGGAAAACAAAAATTGTCCAAGTAGAAAAAACTTGGAGAAGCACATTCTTGTTAATTCTTTAAAGTTGTATCTAAGCTTAAAATAAGTTCATGGGGATTGATGAGCATATTATCTCTTGTACTCAGGGACCATTACAGGACAATGGAATGTTGCATCTATTATCAATTCTACAGAACCTTTAATAAAAGTTAATGGTCTTATTAGCACACATGGGCTTATTAACTTTACGCTATGTAACCTCTGGTTAATGTGCATGCTCCCTACCATCAGTAGGTTGTGTTTGTCAGGAAGCTGAGAAACTGACCAGTTTGTATGGTTGAGATTGTGTCCTTGGACAACACACCATAATAGTGACCTGTATGGCATATGATGGACCTTTCCTATGTTATTCAGTGAGTTAACCACCAGCTTCTACAAAGGGATCCAACCTCAATATGACCCTGACTGTTAACAGGTGATAGACCTGATTAAACAAGCCACTGCAATGCATTTGAGTATTTGAGTTGTGGAATCTTTGTAATATATACAGTATTTATCATCATTTTCATCCAGAGGAATTTGGGCACTGTAAAATGATTGATTGATATGTAAAGGGTGATTGAGGTGAATGATTCAACAGAAAAGAGAAAAGGGGCTTGAAATACACTGGTAGTATGTAAGGGACAAATTATTTTGACATTTTAACAGAAAAGCGTATAATGTACCGATAGATTTAACAATCGATAAACACTCCAGAAATAGCTAGCACAACCTTATCCAAACAATAAGCACAACGTTTTTTCATCATTTTTGTATAAAAAAACAACACTACTGATCTAAACGCCGTCTGCTACAGGCCATACCCCTCAGGTTTTACAATCTGGCAGTACAAATCTACAGTGAAGCTGGAGGATTTGTGGGCTTGTGAATCAATACTTCGGCTAACACAGAAGTGACGGCCACGAGACATAATGCTCTGATTTGTTACCTTGTCAACTTCTTAAATGTAAAAGGCAAAAGAAGCATGAAATCATGTACAAAAAAAATGTTGATAAATGCTGATGATTTTTACATCGTAACATTATCGTTCCAGAAATGTGACTTCATTATAGTTTTAATTGGTTGGTATGCGACTGTGGTCTCATCTTTAAAATCACAAGTGAACTTGCTCTCCGTTGATACGTACAGGACTGTGTGTAACTAGCAGTGATTTTTACAATATGTAGACTGGTATATCACCATGTATCACAATTTGTATTGATAAATCTTTGATAGCTGTGACAATAGCTGCATGAACTGCTCTATCGGTAATATGTTAAACACATTTTCTGTAGTATTATTGGGTACCGGTTGATAAGATGTCATATTTTATGTAAAATCTAGACAAAGCAGACAAACAAAACAGTTTCACATTACCAGAAGAGAAAATAGTTAAAGTTGACAGTACAGCAATAGAATTCACTGCTTCTATTTCCAGTTTGAACAACATTAAAATTGGACTTCAGGATAAGTTCTGCCATATAACTAATTAAGTTCATAGTAGAAAGCTACAAAACAATCATATAATAGAAAAATATTTTTCTTAAACATAACCAAAAATATGCTGTAAAATATCTTGAGCATGTGTGATATCAAATTAAATGTGCTGGATGTTTGTTAGTATGGTGGTTTCATTGTTATATACTGGTATCTGGTTCTCAATAGAGAACTTGACATTACTCTTTTAAATTGACCAAAGCAGCAGGAGATGCTTATCCTTCAAGAACACCTGGTCTGAATCTTTTTTGTTGATTTGATACCAGGTAAATGCTGTGTGCCATCATTAATGAAAAGAAAAAATGTATTTCAAAGCAAGAAAAAGAAATTAATTTCTTAACTCTGAAGATTTTGTATAGGTTTATCTACAATATTTTAAACATGAGCTTTGTCTACAATGTAGACAAAACCATTTCTGTTGAAAAACACTGTCATGATTCCAACTATTATTGGAGTTCCAAAAATTAACAGCCATTGAAATCCATAAGATGATTCACATAATAGATTGAATTTACCATCATAATCCTCCTTTATCTTAATGGCTGGCAGGAAAATCTTGAAAAATAAATAAATTTGCTACACATGATAAACATGTAAATATGGATAGCAAGAAATGAAAGACAGATCGCGTGTCTTGGCTGTGAGACAGATACATAATTATGATGTGAGAGAAAAGCATACATCACTTTGCGCTTGTAAAACAAACCATAGAACTAACCCCAAAGCACAGAGCCATTTCCTACAGCTAATAAATATTTGTTGCAGAGAAAAAATGCAGTAACAACATCTGGTACCGCATCAGTTCATTAGAACTTCACTGATCATTGCTATTTGTCATATCACTGTCATAAATGCTTTGTTCTGATTGGTCAGGAGTTGTCATCTGACCAGTTAATAAAATTACACCATTTCTACTGATTCAAAATTATGCAGTAAATATTTCTGACATTTTGGTGCAGTGCAACACATCTGATGTCTGTTCTATAATGCGTGTATGAACACTGAATATCACAAATAAAATCAAATGACTGAAGGTTAGGCTCATTCTCAGAAACCATACCAGCATTAGCTAAGGCTCATTCTCAGAAACCATACCAGCATTAGCTAAGGCTCATTCTCAGAAACCACACCAGTATTAGCTAAGGCTCATTCTCAGAAACCACACCAGTATTAGCTAAGGCTCATTCTCAGAAACCATACCAGCATTAGCTAAGGCTCATTCTCAGAAACCACACCAGCATTAGCTAAGGCTCATTCTCAGAAACCATACCAGTGTTAGCTAAGGCTCATTCTCAGAAACCACACCAGCATTAGCTAAGGCTCATTCTCAGAAACCATACCAGTGTTAGCTAAGGCTCATTCTCAGAAACCACACCAGCATTAGCTAAGGCTCATTCTCAGAAACCATACCAGCATTAGCTAAGGCTCATTCTCAGAAACCATACCAGCATTAGCTAAGGCTCATTCTCAGAAACCATACCAGCATTAGCTAAGGCTCATTCTCAGAAACCATACCAGCATTAGCTAAGGCTCATTCTCAGAAACCATACCAGCATTAGCTAAGGCTCATTCTCAGAAACCACACCAGCGTTAGCTAAGGCTCATTCTCAGAAACCACACCAGCGTTAGCTAAGGCTCATTCTCAGAAACCATACCAGCGTTAGCTAAGGCTCATTCTCAGAAACCACACCAGTATTAGCTAAGGCTCATTCTCAGAAACCACACCAGTATTAGCTAAGGCTCATTCTCAGAAACCACACCAGTATTAGCTATAGCAGTCAGTCTGAAGATTATATCTATTTATGTTTAACTGTCATACTCACAAATTATCTCTAGTTCATTTCACGAATCATTCTTCATTCATTCAATTACAAATAATTTTTAGTCCATTCAGTTATATGATATCTTAGTTAATTCAATTACAGATTGGATTTACTTTCAGTAAATTCAGCAATTAGTTAATTCAGTTCTAAATGTAGCTTGATTTTACATTATTTTTGGCATGTCTTCTATATTTCCTTCACAAAACTAAAATTATGCATCTGAATCCATCATTTTAAACTTTATACACTGCAGACTTTTTTAGACAAGAAGACAATGCTTGGCTCTGACAAACATCTATCAGCATACATGAAAACAAACATATTTCCTTAACATAAGCAGTGCTAGTTAGTTTACAAATCCTTTGACTTCCTTTTTGCAGCTAGGGCATCAGTTTAGACTATAGTGTTTGCAAGTTATAATATTGATACAGAAGGAGTGTATTACATGTGTTTAGATTACCTCTTAAAAAAGTGTTTAATACCAGTATAATTTGATTTTGTGGTAGTTGTATGTCTATGAATCTATTAACTGTTTTGACAGAGTTTTAATAGATATTGTGAGAACTATTTCATGTTTTTGTATGGTAGTTATCTGCTCTTATGAGCAGGTATTGACTGTTACATATATCATAAGTTTGTGTTAGAAAATAACATTGATTTCTCACATATTTATGATGATAACTCTGTATTATGAAAAGACAGAATTTACGCATGAAATTTAGTCCCCATGAAATGCTGTTCTTGTTAAAAACTATGAAGTTTGATCAACAAAATTCCCTACAAAAATGTGCAACTTAACAATATATCAGGCTTGTGTCAAATGCTCAAAAGAACTAGAAACTCTACTTTCCCATCAGGTGATTTACAAAGAAATGATGACAATTTTTTTTTCTGCAGCTTGCCTTCGGGATAGCCATGATGTTACCTCTGGAACGAAACATTCGGTTTGGACTGCTATGTGTGGCTTGTGTCCCGGGAGGTGGACTCGGCCATGTTGCAGTCGTCGTCAGTCAGGCTGACCTACCTCTCAGCCTTGCTATGAATCTTCTAAGCATCATTGTCATGCTAGGTAAGATACCCACACCACATTGATGGCAGAAAAAATACACATTTAACTTTATTGACATTTCCATAATGCTAGGTAAGTGTATATGTCATGAACCTCCAAGTAATGTTTCCATATAGCCAAGAACTTCATTAACATGAAACAAATATAACACAAACTTTGAAGAAATATCAACAGTCAGGGTTATACAGCCATGAACTTCATAATGAATGTGTAGTATATATACAGCCATGAACTTCATAAACATTGTGTATTATATATACAACATGAACTTACTAGGATTCGCAGGCATTCTTTCTTAAAAGAAACAAAACATATCAAGAATTAACACACAAACATATAAAATCCAATTAATTGTTTTGACTTAAGTATGAAATGGTAGTCATCAAGACGTCGTTTGACAGTGAAAGAAAGCAATTAAACTGATGACTAGGAAAGCTGATAATCATCGCATCATCACGAGTAGAAAGTATCATGATAATACACCACAGATAAACACGAGCCTGGGTGTTCTGTTTGCCACTTAGTATCAAAACCTGTTCTAATTATCCTACAATTTCAAAGGAATTACCGCAAATTAACTAAAGAACACCGCTTCATCTCCAACAAATGTTGGTTTTCACAGCCATTTGTCTGTTGCCTCCATCATTTGAATAGTCTCACTTGACACTTCTGTCTAGAAAATTCAAACCACTTCTGTTTTTAAGAACTTTTCAGATAAAAGAGCGTAAAAGCTTCAAACCTATGTCAAATTTCATTCATCATAAGAAGTGGAACACTATCCTTAAACAAAAAACAACAGATGATTTTACGTAGTCCTCCTTCCCTTAGGAAATTTCACCAGGAGATTAGGAAAACATAAGCAGACCAGATCGCAAAAAACATAAACTCATTTAATTACCTTTTTTTTCAGACCAAACCTGAAACTGAAATTTTAGCGAAGAAAACATTCAAAATTTCTTGGTGTAATGAAATGAATGTCATTACAATATACTAGATAGTCAAATTACTAAATAAACTCCCCTTACTTTGTCAAGTCAGCCTGATATATGCCATATCATGACCTGCTCAGATCATGAAAAATGCTAGAATTACCTGATATCTTTAAAATTTTGATCAGTATTTAAAAGTTTCAAATTCAATTTTCGGATCTTAACTGATGACCCTTTAAAATACTCTGTGATCCTTGATTTTGATGGCCATGGACAGACATTGTAAGGTAGAAACAGGTAGGGAACACCAACAGATTAAATGTATATTTACCATGGTAGAGTGTTTTAAGGTGATGTAAATATGAAGTTGATATTCGCCTAGTCATACAGGTGAATTTGCTTTACATTGGTCCTGATAATCAGGGATTAAGTCTTGAGAACCCAAGGTTTACTAAAATATTCTACCGACTAATCTAAGAAATTATTTTCTAATGGCACATCAGTAGGAAGCAGTAAATGTTTGACAAGTGAGACAAAATTTATCTATCCTTACACGTCATTTATGTTAAAGTTTAGAATTCATGGCTTGCACACAGATAATTAAACGGAGGATGAAGAAGGGTGCACACTTAAGAATGAGGCTCATAACAGATCACAGCATATTAGCTATGAATTGAATATTTATATGCAAGTTCTCAGATGTGGACAGTTCTGCTCTTAGTACAGCAAGGGCATGAAGCTATGTGCTGCTAGATCACAGAGAAAGTGCATCAACACCCAACGCCCACCATCCAATCTCTGTCAGCATACATATCCATAGACACAAAACATTACAGGCTTAACCGTGTTAGCAGCTTCATCTGACCATAAAAATTACTTGTACAAAATATTTATAGCAGAAAAATATGGCACAAGAAACTTTATCTGAGTTCTGCATTTGATGAAATATGCATGTACTGCAGAGATAAATATGAATTTCGTGTAATAAATATATTTATAGATCTCTGCTGGGGTCTGGTTAGGTTTTGGTAAGGATCATTTGCCAAAAAATGTCACTGGAAAGAGAAATACGACATAATCACAAAACTATTTGCAGCATTTTCTTAATCAGTCGCTGGCACTGCATATTATATACACGAGTGCATGCTGTCGGTAACAATACATATAAATCCATCTGAAGCAAAGGATTCTCTATCACTCTTGTGCTTGATAGTATGATGCTTATAATTTTCCACTTGTATAAGAAGAAATCTGTGTCACTCTCATGCTTAGAACTACTCACTAAGACAAACCAAAATCTGTATCATTTTGAGGCTTATATTTTGATCTCATAAAATCATAAGGAGAAATTTGTGTTACTATATATACTATATATGCCTGTAATTCTCTGTCAAATCATGCCAAAATCTGTATCACAATGGTACTTGTACTTTTTATTAAATCAAACATCTGTGTCACCTGAAAAAATCTGTTGCATTCTGAATGTTACAAGTTTTTGTCATTTCATAGAAATCAGAAACAGAAATCAAAATTTACTTCTTCATTAATTTCTTTATGTGACCATCATAATTCCATGTGGTTAATTTGAATCAAAGAACACTTTTTGCAAACTTATCATTTCAAAAAGAATTAATCACAACTGTTGATATTCTATACAAATACTCCAAAATCTTCATACATTATCACAGCTTGGTCCTCAGAATTACCCAGCAGGCCACACATGTCCATCATACTTCCCTAGTTCAGGGTTCTCTAAGGTCATACAGACAATAAACAACACCAGATGGGATTCATACGATTTTCATTCCAAAGCAAACACAAGATGATAATATTTACAAGTGAATTCTACCCTGGGTTTCCAGTGATGACCTTTGACATCAAGATCACCATGTAAGATCTGATGAAGACATCAAGGTGTTATAAGCAAACTGACCGAAATTCCACACTTTTCCTTCTGTTTCAAATAAACTGAAAATATATCAACTTCAACAGTTAAATAATCTTTTTTTAAAAATCCTGTTTTGGATCATCTCCTCAAATTCTTTCAGAGATGGTATTTCAAAGTCAAAACTTGGCAAGTAAGGTCAAAGAATTATACATATATATTTCAAAGTGGTGATCTACATAATGTAAAAACTTGAATTTAAAAAAAAAAAATACTCAAAACTGAAATGCCATTTTAATACTCTTCTTATATACTGCTCTTTTAAGGCTTGGTCAGTGAAGAACCTCCCAGGGACAAGTGCTTTTATAAATATCTTATGTTATTTCAAGGCTCCCATGAGTTCTCAAGGCATATGTCAGAGTAACTGACCGGAATGCTTAGTTTGTTCCTATAAAAGACTTCTGTTGATATTGTATATATTAATTTGTTTACATTGTATGACTATAAATATTCCATATTCTTATTTCTTTACCTACTGAATACATACAACAAGTCACACATGTTTAATTTGATTACCAAATGGGTTTTCGCATCCAAGATTATAATATCCTGCTTGCAACTTGAATTTCAACACCTTTCCTAAGATCAAGGCTGATGTTTTTATAATGTAAAAAAGTCATAGGTACTGTACATAACCAGATAAATGTCCTGGGTGTAATATGGCAATTTGAGAAAATGATCGTAAATTTTCAAATATTCTATGATTCTACTGAAATAATATAAAAAAAAATCAAGCAAATTGATAACTGAAAAGGGAGAGGATGCCAGGATCAATAAAAAGGGGGCAAAGTGCCTTTTTTTATTAGATAGGGTAATGACTAGGTCAAATAAGGTAACATGTACATTATATCACAAAGGTATAGGGCATTCCCACTTGTATTAAATGTACATATCAACTGCAGAGGCACATAAAAGTTTTATAACACATCATTCCAGTGTTCTTACCTACAGGGATCAGTTTTTATATAAAACCAGATATTATTTATAGATACTATTTTTCTAAGGAGTTTAGATAGAATTTCTTCAACATATGTAACACAGCTTGCACAGGCTAAAATCTGTTATAGATCACTGAGTTTTCAATCATAAATTACCGTATTTATCTACCAATAAGCTAATGCCTTATAATAAGCCTACACATTTCATATTCTACTCATCAAGATTACAAACCAATGGTTACTCAATGTCTTGTAATAAGCCCACCCTCTGACTTTGAGCTAGATATAATGTGTTGACTCCACTTGGGCTATAAATATCATATTTTGTTTTTTTTTTTTTTTACTTTTTACTTCATTTCTTTCCTTTTCATAAATATGTTTTACAGAATGAAGAAAAATTTAAGTATAATTTCACACCAATTTTGAGTTACACCTACTGAGTAATTTCAATCTGATTTAATCAATACCACAGCTCCTCAGTTGATATTTGTGTAAGAAAAATAATCATGTAAGTGTATGTTAGTCACCTAAAGCATTTATTTTACACTTATATCAAGTTAATAAAAGATTCTGTTTCTCATAAAAAAAAATTGTCATCACATATGAACAATATTTGCATTAGGACAAAATCTCTAATGAACACTGTATATTGTATTCCAAATGGTTTATTATAAATGTGTTTACATAAAGTATAAGATTCTGTTTTTCATCTAAACACTCTTTTGTCTCTACAGGTACAGCTCCAATGTGGATATCTGTGCTTGGACAATATTTTCAACAGAAAAGTATCTCAAAAGTGATATACAACTTTGAGATCTGGCTGGCCTCAACATTCTTCGCTTACACCGCAGGACTTGTGATTAACCGGTTCAAACCAGGTATGGCGGACGCATTACTGACCTGGATCATCAAACCATTCCTCCTACTAGCAACGATATTATACATTACATTAGGAGTATATATAAATATGTACGTGTTCGACGATATCGAGATTTACGCTGTATTAGCTGCACTTCTACTTCCAATAACAGCTTTTGCCATAACCTTTGGTCTTTCAAAGGCGTTCCGCCAAAAACCAAAATTTTGTCAATCTGCTGCACTAGAAACTTCTAGTTTCAACTGCCTAATAGTGCTGGCTGCAATACGGTTTACACTTCCAAAACCTGATGCAGATTTGGCATCGGAAATACCAATGTGGATCATGTTCACAATTCCTGGGATGTATGTGCTTCTTTCTGTAATTCGTGTGATCAAAAATTTTATTTCAAATTTCCTGGAAAGTCGGAAGCAGCAACAATTTCGTCATTTTAGCATTGCATCAGGTATAGTAAATCAGGCCAATATGGCTGCCTTATCAGCACCGCTATTTGTGACTGAGGTAACAGACGATGAACAAGGCTCTGTGAGTGAAAAAATTACTGTGTTATAGCACAAAAAATGTGTTATGGAGCAGCAGAAAATAGTACGTGATATTGTGTCATCTTAGATGAATATAAACTCATTGTTTATTATATAATGTATCATAAATATATAAATGTGTGTATTGGAAAAAACAATTATGATTTATCTCAATTCCAGGAATAGACGTTACCATGAACATATTTGGAATAATTAGTTCCATGTGATTTTTTTTTTTTTTTTTCATTTCTTAATGGTGACTACATGTGCTTTTTGATTTCATAAGTATCTTGAGTTGATAACGGGAAAGTTTCCCCTGATATTCCAATTATGTTTGATGTGCATACAACAAAAACGTGTTAAATATTAAACCTATTTCAAGCTTCCGAAAGACCATGATCATGATCTCATTCATAATGCTCATTATACTTGTTATGTTACCCAAAAAGGAAACAAAAAAAAACAAAAACAAAAAAAAAAGTCTGACAATATGATTCCCCACCAGACATAAACTCCATTTATGTAATTTTAAAACTTGATTTTGTCCACAAGACGATCAGTTTTTTTCTATATGCTTACGATTTTGTAATACTGTAAATGTTCAAATTTTTGCAGTTATCTCATTTTAGCTGTTTTTGCACTAAACAGAATCTTCTAAAACATGATTGTGCTAATTGCAGCTTATGCAAGTTGTTTATAACAGCAACAATTGTGGACTAACTAATCTATCATAGCACTAAATCAGCCTAAAAGTGAAAAAGTGCTAAGATTTGCACCAAATTAAGTGTGTTTACAGAGTATATAAACACAGAGCAGAAGTATAAACCATAATCTGACACTAGATCCATGTCACAGCAGTTTACTGTCTTGTTCAATTGTTTAAACAACCTTTATATACTTGTAAACTGATATCAGTAAACAAGACGGAAAATCAGTTTAAAATTTGTTATCAATTAATGGTTAAAATCAGATAGGTTTTCCCATGTAGATAATCAATTATCAGCTGACTTTGTGTTGAATATTCATAGAAAGTGAATGCATTCTTTGGACAGTACTATTTCTTTCTTGTAATTTCTAATTACTCAACTAGAATTTAGATAAAAATGATTAATATTAGTAATTGGCATCTTGATTATGCAAAATATAAATTTTGTATTCGCTAAAACATATGAAAATATTAAGACATCAATGCAGTTACATAATAAGACAAATGATTATATCTGGTCATCCCATCACTAACTGGTATATATGTATTCCATAAAAAATTAATAAATTGGCCTACAGACACATTTTATTATGATAGTAATGTTTGTCTAAAATAAACAGTTCAAAGCACTTGTGCACTACGCAAGAGAATTAAACTAGAGTGATAATTTATATAGAATGTAGATAGTTCTTATATATATATATTTAATTACTGTTAAATACCTCTTAGCAGTATATTCAACCCTAAATGATAAACAACGTTCTCTTGCAATAACACAAACAAGTATCAACTGTTTTAGCAATTTCTGCCTGACATAAGGGAATGGGCTGATTGTAGGAAAAGGAATTGTGTTAGAAAATGTCTTTATGGAAATACAATATATATAAAAATATATATGGATGTGCTTATTATTGGACAATGAAATTGTATTTGTTTGTATTTCTAATGAACTGATATGAATATGAGTGGGCTTATTACCAAGCATGGGTTTATTGGTGGATAAATGTGGGATAGTCTGAACACAAAATTAATAAAAACCCTTCTTGACATACAATAGTAGTACAAAGTCTGATAACTATATATCATCTATATATCTACACATTTTGTTTTTCAGATCGAGTTAACTGATTTCGTTTTAGAACTTTATTAAAATCAATAAAAAAATGTGAAAAAATTACCAGAAAATTTAAAGATAAGAGGGAATGGTAGTTAACTAAGGGGAGCAACTTCATTACCTGTGTGAATATAATGCATTAACGAGAGTCCATTACAATGTCAAAGTAAATTCCAACAGACACTCTACTGAACACATATCTATCAAGTCAATACAATATTTAATGTGACATATACATATATTAACCTGCTTGTAGTTATTAAATATCAACCTCATGTTTCAGATGGCCTATACTAAATATTATGAACAAAAATATTTGTACAATGATAAAGAATCTTCATGTTACATGAGACTAAAGTCTATATGTGACCATCACAATTTAGGTTAAATTTGACTTCATTGTAACTTGAACCAGTTCCTAAGGAATCAAGTGAATCAGTGAACTGGGTCTAATTTGGACTGAGGACAATTATCATAATGACAGATTTATGAAATATCAGAATTTGTCAAACAGTTTCATGGAATACAAGAATGCAAGCAATGAATATCATTTTGTTATGGGAGATAACTCTAATTGTCTTAATATTACAGATCCTTAAAACACTTATCTAAGTTGTACGAAAATTTTAAAATAAAAAATCTTAATGAAATACAAAGTTGAAAATTTACAAAATAAGAACTTGAAACAATAAGTGCAGAACATTTTCCTACTTTAGAAACAACTTACAGAGAACTCACACACTTATTAGTAATAAATATTTTAGTAAGAAAATGTCAAATTCATACAAAAGCCTGCAATATTTTCTTCTTAATTTTGAATAAACGAACTACAAAATTTGATGTTAAAATATCAAGTAACATTTTGTTGTAATTTTCAAACATGTCTGGATACCTTAGATATACCCATAATGCACCTCTTTCCCAAGTGACATGGAAAGCTAGGAATCGATATGTATGTTTGTGCAAGCCTTAGTAGAGGAATGGCTGGTACCTGATGTTGTCAATGTAATTAACGATACATACAGGCAAAGCTTTTTTTCTGTAAAGACTCTGTATAATGATGCAATTTCTGAAACAAAATCAATATCAGCTATTCATTATAATCAATTTGGAAAAAGCCTCTCTTTGGTCTTATCTACCGCAACCATAGAGCAACATCGTCTTTAACATGCCGGACTATCTATCACTGCCAGCACAACTATCAAAACATGCAAACACAGCAAACAGTACCAAACAACTATCATCTGCGATAACATTCAAAATGGGGTTTTTTTTGTCTATTTTTATTTCTGATTTGTATAGTTTTCTTTAAATCTGTTAATTTTAAAAGCCTTTGTTACTTTTCCAAAATTTCGAGATAAATTCTAGGATCAGACATCTTCAATAAGGCTTTTGTTGCAAGGGTAGACTGAAGTATTCCCTTAAAATGCAAATCGATCTGTTACCATTTTCACAATCAACTTCAAAACACTTCACTTGTGGAGGTGGATCTGTTTGAAAAATTACAACACAGAATAAACATATTCCCTTCCACATGCACTCCTTCTTCATAACATCCATCTCTATTCTCAAAATGACCTGTTTCTTTTGGTTTAACTTATAAATTGTATTGTACTGTAAAATCATATATTTTTGTGAGGCTCAACTTTCATGGTTTTTCAAAATAATAAAGTTTTGTGAAAAAATTATTTTGTGGATAAATATAGCTCAATAAATCTTCTTATAATTATTTTAACTGTTAGTGGACAATTTATTAATTGTTTTATTTCAACCATTAGTGGACAATTTATTAATTGTTTTATTTCAACCGTTAGTGGACAATTTATTAATTGTTTTATTTCAACTGTTAGTGGACAATTTATTAATTGTTTTATTTCAACCATTAGTGGACAATTTATTAATTGTTTTATTTCAACCGTTAGTGGACAATTTATTAATTGTTTTATTTCAACTGTTAGTGGACAATTTATTAATTGTTTTATTTCACTGTCCGTGCAGCTAATTTGGAGATAGTGCAATATAACACTTGTAATTCTATTTAAAAACAATGGCTATGGGTGGGCTTAACATCAGACAAAATGATATGTAAATGATTTCCAATATTGCTGTACTAGTACTAGGAATAATTTCAAAATAATAAAATTTCTTAAAGTCACTTACGAAAGCTTAACCCACTTAATATGAATATTCAAGCAAAGTAATATGCTACAAGCTGTCAGTCCTAAACATACCTTACTTTATCCTTTGACAATTATTTCTAATAAGCAAGAATCAAAATGATAATGATGAAAAAAAGTCTATAAAAATTTTGATTAACAAACCTGTCATTTGAATATGATAAATATAAAAAAGATAGAAGGAATATGTTTAAAAAAAAATTAAGAACAATTAAACTTTTTAAACTTAATGAATTAGGCACTTTAAGATGGTCTAATATTGATACCTCCACTGTTGCCAGCATCAGTGCTATTTGCATACTGTTCCGTTTTTGGAAGTATTGAACTTTCGTCTGGCAGATCCAGTAACTCAAAGGAGAAATACTACACTTGTGTACTTACAAAGTTCTGTGAGATACAGGTATAAATTCTCTTGTCACTTTTAATTTAAGGTTTTATTAAACTGCCTGTGTTGAAAAGCCTGAGAAAAATGACAGATTTTAACTTTTATTCTCCATTATGGTGATAATATGTCTGTATTACAACTATTATCTTAAGCATTTAGAAAAGTATGACAATATTTAACAGTTACTTCAACATTTGTAACAAGAAATCATCCAATAAAACTATCAGTAATAGATACATGAAGAAGTGTAAGTGCCAGTAAAATAAATATTGGATAACTAGTGCATAAGAATACTTCTCCTGTAATATAATCCCAGGGGGCTAATATTTTAATTCTAACCCATTGTCAAGGGGCTGGCTTATTACATGAAAATGAATAGGCATTGGGTTATCATTAAAGTGAACATCAATATATGTGAATGAGCTTATTACTAGGCATGGGATTATTGTCAAATAAATACTGTAACCTAGGTGTTAATTGATAATATCAATACTTAAACATTGTGATATAGGTTACCACTTACAAGGTTTCTCGCTGATTAATTTCCACCTACATTAGTTATTCATTGCTCATCTATAACCTTGGATGCTTTTCACTGGTTAGTACAGGCGTAGCTTTGTGAAATGAAACAGGTCTTCACAACGAAATAAATGACTGAGTCAACATTTTACAATTTTACCCATAGTGATTTCAGATTTACTGTGAATTAGATGTTTTTATCTTCTTTTTATAAGAAACTAAGATAATGACTTATCATTGTGCAAATTCAACAAAAAAGAGCCAAAAATATTAAAAATATCTCAAACTGCATTAATCAACAACATTGAGAAAAAATACACCAGGAATCAACAATATGTTCAATCATAAGTACATGTATATATGTATTGGTTTTTATGGTTGTTATATATTTGTTTAACTCTGTCTTTTGTTATTTTGACAATTGATGTTGCAATCTATCATATCTGTAAATCTCAAAAGAGATAAACAAAATATCTGAATATGGCAGTATGCTTTAAGATTTGTCATAACAGTTTTCCTTTGTCCTTATTGTTCAACATATATATATTCTAATCCATGTATTTCATATTTCATTTCAAATGAATTACATTTTGCTTTTTCCACCTTGGGTTTGAAAATTTGTTAAAATCTATAGTTGTCTCCCTTATCAGACCTCTTCTTATTGCAGCTGT